ACTCCTTGAGTTCTGTGGAATATGGTTAAACCTGGTTTTTATAGTAATTCTTATGAAATCAAATTGGTAGATATCAATGGTACTTGTTGAATTTGTTTCACAATTTATTGAATACTGATTAAATATTTTAGGTATTTTTTTGCAGATTTTTTAAGACTTTCTAACCTGAATCTTCTGTTTTATCTATATGAAAATAGGTTTTTGTTTATACTTTTTTATCTAAACGTTTATATTGGCTATTTGAAGGGGAAATCTGTTATTATATTCTATAAAAAATTAGGTAATAGATTTATTTCAGTCATGAAACGTGAAAATAAAAACCAGAAATGTTTGGTTTTTTGTAGATTATGTTCCGGGGATTTTTTAACATTGAAATACTTTATGATAGTTTTGCATAAATCTAAAAGTTTTCGGTTTTTTTCTGCTATGTTTTACAGATTTATTTATATATCTATGTGAGCAGAAATTGAGGTTTATAACCACCTAAACTAAATTTGTTGTAGATTTTTATTAATTAGTTATAAAAGTCCAATCTTAATTTAACAAACAATGTAATTTTAGCTTGATAAACAACATTTAAATGTGGTTTGCGTTTTTTCTGCAGCTTTTATAAATGGAACGATGACAAGATGAATCTGCAATTTCTGAAATCTTATCACAGTTTTATTTACTCTCGTTTATCTTTATTTACTATTTTTCTTTCTGGTGTTCTCTTTACCCCAAAAGTTTTTACCTTTGCGATTTGCTTTAACAATTAAGGGAAAGTCCCCTGAAAAAAAACAACAATTTTTGTCTGCTACTAAAAGTCCGTTTAGCTTGTGCATTTTGGCGCTACGCTAATGAAATTATCTCATGACGTCAATGGCTTAAACTTGGCTTAAGCTAAGGCCGTTGAACAAAAAAATAAGTGTTAGAGTAGCAAAGCCGGTTTTTTTTTTGAGCTCGCTTCATTTGAGAGCCAAATTTGGTCACACGATTGCTTTACCCGCATGACGTCACAACCAGCGAAGAGAAAAGCGATCGCTTTTCAGCAGCAATGTTAATTTTTTCCTCTCCCCCGTCGGGGAATTATGTCATCATCACTTAACTAACAAGCAAATATGTATGTATGTTATATGAAAAGCCAACAAACAAAAGGAAAATGTCAAAAGTTGCGTGCTTTCGCACTAGCTTTCGATTTCTTGGAATCAAATTGGGGCGTCATGGGAGCAGGGAGTGAGGTAAGAAAAAAAAAGAAGGAAAAATAAAGCAATATTATATACACACACTTATCGGGAGGAGCGCTGTTTACAAGGGGGATTCGGGGGGCGACAGATAGTGCCGCGATAGTGTTATCTTTTGCATACAGAACACCGCACAAAGCTACAGCCATGCCTTCGTTCAAAATGCTAAAGATTGAAATTAACTGATAAGCCCGGTGACAGCGAATTAAACTGAAAACCCTACCATAATATTTGAGCAATTACGTTATTAGTTTTTTGTGTTTTGTTTTTGGTTTTGAGAGCCTATAATAGTTGCTATATTACCAAGTTACATTATTTGCAATTATCAATTATATAATGGGGGGTTTTCAACCCTTAAATGTGTGTGAGATTAATTTTTACTATAATACAACAGAATAGAAATTATATATATGATGTTTTCTTTTGTTTAAATATATTTTTATATTTATATAAATTTGTAATCAAGAGTTTCGTATTATAAATTACAATTAAGTATTAAAAGCCCATAAACCACAGCAGTTCTAAAGAGGAATAACAACATGTAGTCAAAGAAAAAGGTTAAAAGGTTTTTCATAAAATAATATATAATATAAAAAGCATACTTAATAATAATTAAATGAAATATCTAAGCTAATTTTTCCATTTACCTACCTCAAAGCCATCCCTCTGCATAATTCCCAGACCACACCACTGCCCGCGTCATGTCGATTAATTTGGTTTCGTGGGTTTGTTGAACTCTGTCGAGTAGATGGAATATACCCAGAAATTCGTATTCAAATTGTGGGTGGTTGTGGGGGGAGGAGGTGTTTGGCAGTGCTAAATGCCAGTTGCAAAAGCAAGGGACCCCCTAATTGAGTTATACATTGGCAAATACAACTAATTCCAGGCAAACGGAAATGGTAAAATGGTATTGGGGGAAACTGGGTGTGGAAATGCCTGGATTTCCCCGTGGAATTGGAGCACATCTGGAGGCAAGTGCATTTCTTGGCACTGAAAGATTTACACCTCCCCGAGCAGCAGCGAAGCGATCCTGGCTGCCCCGGATCACTTCCCTCCCTATATAGCATACTGATATATGTATATATTCGCATTGTGTGACGCATCTTGCTGCGTGAAATTCCAAGAAGAGGCGCAGCATCGGACGATGGCATTCCAGTAAACCAGGAGGGAATGGGGAAAGGGTGCTGCCAGCTTCGATTCGCCATGGCGTTGAAAAGTGCGAGGCGAGAAAAGATAAAGCCAAAAGGAAAAATTATCAGGAACCGACCAGCAGCACACACAGCACTCCCAAGATTGTGTCAACTCCTTTTTAAATGCAACTGAGGCTCGAAGGGATTTGGGGTTTTTTGGGGGAAGAACCTCAAAAATAATATAAAACTTAATTGAAGTTAGAAATATTTATAGTTTTTCTGACTTTTTACCAATAATAAAAATTATTTTATTAATACTTTTCCCTATATTTAATGTTTGATAAGGAGAAAAAGAGTTTAATTTGATCTACAGAATTTCGGAATCGAAAAGGAAATATCTTTCCTGTCTTGACTCTCAAAATATCTATATAACTCTAGAAATATTTAGGATAGTAGGTCATATAGTATTTCTTAATATACTTTTTGATTATTTTCTAGAAATATTCTCATACTTTCATAGATATTTCTAGAGATTTTCCTTTATAAACTTTCTAAAAAACTTCTCGATAGGCTTTTCTATCAGATTTGTTTTTAGAAATTTTGTGTAAAAGATCGTATTTAAAGAATTATGTATAGTTAACAAATTTTCTTTCTTTAAAAAATATTCCAGCAAACCCTTAGACTTCTAGAAAATTCCATGGAAGCCCCAGATGTATTTCAAAATTTAGATAGATATTATTTCTTTCTAATTGTTTAATTACTAAATAAGAAAACTAAGGTAGTATCAGTATTTTGAATCATTTTTTTACATTTTGATAACTACTTAAATATTAAATTCTCTACTTAAATATAAACTACCTAAAGAATAAGGCCTCTGAACTAAATTTATTTAAGGGATATATCCCAGTCGAGAGCCGTTTTGCCTCCATTTTAATCGACAGGCTTAAATGCTTGGGGAGAATTTCGCAATGCTGCACTGGGGATTTCCAGCACCGGATCGCCTGATTTCGCCTTTGGCTTCCTCTCTGAGTATCTGAGAGCTTTTTACGATTTCACTCACTCAGATATCTCACTCAGATATATTGTATATTCCCTCTCCGAGTATTATTTGAGCGTTTTAGCGAGTCGAGAGAAACTCGTTTTTTTTGTTGACTACGAGGTTTTGTTTGCGAGTGGGCGCCAAGTGTGGAGCCCTAGGCCGTGGCACGTCCCGCTGCCCCCTTGGCCCCCGCACCGCACACCAACTGGGCCAAAATGGAAAAAGTGGAGAAAAAAAAACGCACGAATTCTGGTTAAACGGCGGTGAGTCATCCCGGCGCGTTGTGTGTGGAATCGGTTGTAGCTGGACCGTCCATTCATAATCGCGTTTGCTGAATGAACGAGCACCTATATAGGCACATACAAATCAGCGTCTTTATAAACAACAAGAAAGGAAGCTAACTTCGGCACGCCGAAGTTTGTATACCCTTGCAGATTGGTTTTCATATTTATATTATAAATTATAATGCCGAAAACAGACACTAAACGGAGTTTCATAACATTTTACCTATACTTAATATGTTTACAGTTTGACAGTTACAGTTATACATTCCCAGCTTTACATTTTCTCTACATCTACGGATCACTTATATGGCAGCTATATTATATAGTTCTCCGATTTTCATAATATTGTTACCAAAATTCTGAAATAATACTAAAAGCTCATGTCTCAAAGTAGATGAAAATACGTTGAAAAACAACGAAGTTATAATTTTTTCTATCACTTTCCCTATCGTTCCTATGGCAGCTATAAGATATAGTCGTCCGATTTTCATTAAATTTATACCAAAATTTTGAAATAATACCAGAAGCTCATGTCTCAAAGTAGATGAAAATACGTTGAAAAAGAACGAAGTTATAATTTTTTCTATTACCTTCCCTATCGTTCCTATGGCAGCTATAAGATATAGTGGTCCGATTTTCATAAAATTTTTACCAAAATTCAAAAGTAATATATAATGGCCATGTCTTAAAAATTGTGCAAAAATGTTAAAAAACATCCAAGTTATAATTTTTTTCTAAAAATTTATCGAACATTTGTATGACAGCTATATGATATAGTCGTCCGATCCGGCCCGTTCCGACATATATAGCAGTGAGAGTATATAGAAGACTATATGTAAAGTTTCATTCAGATAGCTTTAAAACTGAGGGACTAGTTTGCGTAGAAACGGACAGACGGACAGACGGACGGACAGACGGACAGACGGACAGACGGACGGACAGACGGACATGGCTAGATCGACTCGGCTGGTGATGCTGATCAATAATATATATACTTTATAGGGTCGGAAACGTCTCCTTCACTGCGTTGCAAACTTCTGACTGAAATTATAATACCCTGCAAGGGTATAAAAATATATAGTACGGCTAGCCTACAGCGGCGGTCGAGATAATAGCGAAATACTATGAGTATACTCAGTGTTGGGGTTGCCTTTAATTTAGGGATTTTGTTTAAATTTAAAAAAAGTAGAAATGTGAAGCTAAATAATATCAAAAGTAGAATTTTTTGTAGTAAAAATAATAGCTTATGACCATTTCCCAAAAACCTATACTTTTGCCTCCTTCTGTGCCATCCAAAGACCCCTTTTTATAAACACGAGACACGTATCTATATATTTTTTAATAAACATGGTATAATATTTGCCGACGACACCTCAACACCTATGGCACCTCGACGCTGGCCAGGATGAGGGTAATATCATCCGGTTTTCCGCCACAGGCATAAGGAATATTGTTTTCCCTAGCCCTGATGGCGAAAGGAGACTGAAAGTTGGCATTCAGCGAGAGCTCTCGGGCCTTTTCTACCAGCCGACTGGCACTCGCCTGTAGATCCCTTTCAGAGTCTCCACGGATTCCTTTGAGCATCTGGAGGAGCATGCTATCGGGCATATTGTCAAAGAGGCCGTCGGTGGCCAAGATAACCAGATCATGCGGTTGCAGGGTGAGGCGTGTGGACACGGCCATCTCTGGGCGGTCGCAGTAGAGAGAGTAATCTTGTCCACCACCAGGCGGCACCGTCAGCTGAAAGGGCGTGTTGAAGGCATGCGTTTGCTCTTCGGAGCGATGGAGGATCCTTCCATTGCGTACAACGAGAAAACCGCTGTCGCCCAGGTTGGCCGTGTACAGGGTGCAGTCCCGTCGATGCATAGCCACCAGGCAGGCGGTGCTGCTGCCCACCACTGGCTGTTCGCGGCGTTTTAGTTCTTGGTAGCTGGCAATTAGCAGTTCCCGGGGACTCTTTCCATCGAACTCCGGTCGCTGTGCCTGCCCAGAGCAGCAGGCCATTAGCTCAGTGGCAAAGCGTCCTGGGTCCACGCCCATATCACGCCATCCACCGACGCCGTCAGCTACTCCGAGCACCTCGGCCAGCGGCGTGGAGCTGACAAACCAGCTGTCCTCGCCAAAGCGCCTTTTCGAGCGGTCGTTGGGCAGACGCGGTTCCTTGGAACAGCCATGCACCACCTTGACCAGGTAGGGATCCCTGCCCACCATAACACTGGGATCACCAGGGCCAGAGCTGAACTTGTCCGAGTTGGACGGTTTCTTCATTTGGTTGGAGTCTGCGAAGGGAGTGGAGTTTGCGGAGGAGTTGCGCTGTAAAAGGTGTTGCATCAGGAGTGGTCGGTTGTTGATCCGGAAGTACTTTGATGTCAACATTCTTTTTGGTACATGGAAATTTTTATGGAGTATTTGTGAGGAAATTTCTGGATTTGTCAGTGGGGTTTATGTAAAAAATGTTGAAAATTTTATAGTGACAGTAAAAGATTCAAATGAATAATCCCTAAAAAAAAGCCTAAGATTATGAAATAATCTACTTAGAATGATTTATAATTTAGTTTATTATTAGTTAAAAACCTTTCTTCGATCAAGTTACTCATATATTTCGAAATAATACTTTATCTAGAAACCGAAAACAAAGCACGTACAACCAATAAGACCTGATCCATTGGCCTGACCATAAAAACGTCAACTTTCTTCGCAATTGGGGCTAATAAACTCAACTCCCTGATCAAATCGCAAGCAGTAATCAAGTTGGTTTCTGTTTACACCATAAACACTTGGCAATCGTAAGACCCATAATAGGCAAGGGTGGTTGTGGTCTCTAGGAGTAGCAAGTATTTGTCATAGATTCGATTCCTTTGTTAGCCATTCAATCTTATCTTGATATGAGGCCTACGACACACACTGGACTCGAACCCCAGACCCCCATCATCATCATCATCATCATCAGCACCGGAAGTTTTGATCACGCTACTACGGAACTGCAAGACTTATCGCGAAACCTTCCATATTTCCTTATCGCCGCGGCAAGGAAAACAATACGTAGACAGAGATAACTTTATTTTAAAGCACTGATGTAAACGCCTTCAGCAGATACGGGCCGGCGGCCTTATCAATCATTTAGCCAGCGGCTTCGGCAGAAAATCTCATTATTCATTATTTGTTATTCGCAGCAAAGTCCGCCGAATTACGAGCACCACTTCCTGCATGGGGAAAGTGCACAAATCCCGATATGTTATTCTGATTCTAAAAAAAGAAAACTACTGACCATCGAGTTCTTCCGAATCCCGCGCTATCTGGTGCTGGTACTTACCAGAACCGGCATTACAAACAGCTCCCGGTTTCAAACAGAGTCGCGAAAGTGGAAATGGAAACCAGTGGCAAACCCCTTATCATTCGTTATGACGTCCCAGCATGAGTGTGTGGAATTTTCTGTGGCCTAACTATATACATTTTTGTTAAGAGTTTACCAGTTTTGGGAGATTGTTTTAAGGGGTATTTTCCAGAAAACCAATTATGAAAAGAAGGGGGTTTTGGGGATATTATGGGGATTATGTTATAATTTTTGACTTGAATATTTTACATTTAAAATGTGCATAAAGACGGGAATCAATGATCTTCTTATCTAATATTATTATTAAGAATTGGTTAAAAATAGTCTACATAATATCTATAAATCATATTTTCATATACGGTTGAGACTGTATCGATATTTAATGTAGATTTGAAAATTCCCTTAAATAAAATGTTCTAAAATAGTTTGATATTTCTCGGTATTTTCAATGATTTTAAATGTTTAGATATGTACCCATCAAAACTCACAATATTTTCGATATAATACTGAAAACTTTAGTTTTTTCAATATCTATTACTATAACATATATCTTAATATATAATAAGATCTGTGTTCCATCAATATACCTTCCTAATTTCACATGCCAACCAAAGCCCGTCTTTCATTTCGCAAATCCTTATCGATCTGGGTCAGGGAATGTAACCCTAGCCACTTATTCTGATCTCAATTAGAATCCTAATTGACTGTGAATTTCTCTTTCTCGTTACAGGTAAGTAGAGCACAAATGTCCAGTGTCACATGACCCACTTTCCGCTGCACTTTCCGCCCGTTTTTGGGGAGGTAATACACATACATACATATGCATGTACAAAGCGCACGTAAGTGACGCCGCAAGGTCAGTGCGGCCTTTTATTTTTTAGAGCTATCCGCATACGATTACAAGGCATCGATACAATCGGTGTTCGGTGGAAGGGGCCCCCATCAATATTTATTGAAAAGCTAACGTATCATAGATAAAAAACAGAGTGCCTAGGAATAACACCTGCGCCGGACTGCAGTTGGTAACCTGAGCCACCTGAGCCTCCGGCGGCGGCGGCGACACCGGACCGCCGCCAATTGCGACCCATTTCGAAAAGCTATACCGGGCGATAAGAGCTCCTCCACAAAGGTTCACCATTCATGGGTTTCATATGGGCGGGACTTTACCGGGGTCTTTAAATTTAGTTGCTTATGTCATAACTAAATTGTCTCCACTGGGCGATAAGATAAGCCTGGCCAGAATCGAAATCGAAATGGGGAATCGCGGGGTAAACAAAAGGCTTTTTACGTAGCCAAAGAAAAACCAAGCTGCCGTGGGGCACGTGAGACACCCGAAAAATAGTTGAGAATATGGAGAGAATATACATATCTCAATCCGTAGAGCGTAAAGCATTCCTGCCTGGGTTTAACCCGATATATTTATATGTGGATGTGTGTATTTCTTGGGGCCTTACAGCTCTCGCTGCTGCTCAGGAAATGCCAGAGCCCCCCCATATCTTTTGACTCACTCGATGGTATTTTTTCGCTCACTCTTTTGCTCTCTGACTAAAAAACACTCAATCCGAGCCAGCGGACCGGGTCTCTGGTATAAAAAGCCCGCCATTCACGATGACGCATTTAGTCTAAACAAGTTGCCGTGCCAATCGCTTCGGCAGCTGTCGAGTGAATTTGAAATTGCGCAAAAAACGCAAACCAAGACGAGAAAATTACGCGAAAAGTCAGCAGAAAAGAAATAATATTGTGTGTGTGAAAAATTGCGACTCTCTCAGAATGTGCGGTGCCTGAAAAAAAATTTAAACAAAAGCAGCAAGCAAGTCGGCAATTCTAGGAAATATTGAAAACAGACAACACAAATAATTCGCACGATACAGATACAGATACTTGCCACCGCTACAGATACATTTATAATAGTGTGTGTTTCGTTTTGGCGAATTTCGCCAGAATTCGTTTGACTCACCCTGCCTGTGTTGCAGAAACAATTTAACAATTCAAACAAATATTAGCTAATTAAAAAAAGCAGTCAAAACGGAAGCCATACAGATATACGACAAAATGACGCTGGACAATTACAACATCTTCAACGATGAATATCTGTTCAGCATGCCGCTATCGCCGTTGCCCAAAGTGGTAAGAATTTTTAGATACGATTTCTATAGGGTTTATTTTTTTGTTTATCAGGTGTATATAGTACTACCATAGGTTTATACGAGTCCCCGCCCAAGTTTGGCATAGTTAAATGCGAGTGTTATCAGCGCCAGTGTTTGCCATGAAATTATTTGAATTCCTACACGGCAAGAAAGGTTAAGTTGAGGTGTAGGCAAATGATGGCAAAAGCTTGTTAACAAAAATATGCATTTATGTGGCTACGAAAAAATTTAAAAATTACTCTTTAAGTTTGTAAAATAATTAGAGCAACATTTAAAAATTAAATGTAATGAAAGGCTTTAATATGATTTCATAAAGCGTAAAAAAATATAAAAAATTTAATAATATCTGAAAAGCGGCCGTAAATAAATGTACTCATATAATAAAACTATTATGTGGTATTTAGTTTGATTATTTAAATTTTAAGGAAACTTTTTCTTTAAATTAAATTTTGATTTCTGGTAAAAAAAAAAAAATATTTTCTTCGATTTTTTATTCTAATAAAATCTTTGCTCTACAATTTTATGTACTGCTACTTTTCACCATAAAAAAATAATCTTAAAAATTGAAATACAAATTTTTTTTTCAGTACAGAGTTATAAATTACGCTCCCACTCGACCGATATATAGTAATTCTATATATAGGGTGTACATGGTACAAGGCTCGTAGCTTTCGCTTATCACTCGCAATTGAATTCTTGGAAATTGGAGATCCCCTTTTTCAGATTCCTTTCATTGGGCCCCCATATATGTTTTTTGTGTTGAGGCAGATTGGCTTAGCTATCGGCTTTGAAAATGGTGTTTGCTGTTTTGCAACTGTGTTTGCCTGCGCCCCGCTGATAAGACCGATTTTTGTTCGTATTTCTATTCCCATTCCATTGGCTGAAATGAAATGGATTCGAATTCCCATTGCCCCGATTTATGTACACGCTCATTACCTAAAATGAATTGTTTTATTTTATTTGCGATAAGAGGCAACTATTTTGTTGGCTGTGGCAAGTGTTCTTTTTTTTCGGCAGATCCATCATTCGTTTCGTAATTATTGAAAATGATTATTTTGCCCACACCGAGGCATATATGTATATATTTCTAGGCGGTACGTGACTGATTATTAAAATTGAGGCGGTCGGCATTTTCAATGGCATGAGAAAATCTCAATGGTACTGAAAGTTTTGAGGTCTAGATATAACATAAATACAATTTTGGCTGAGAAAAACCTGCAAGACTGGTGAGAAAGTGGTTATAAAATCGCCCAACTTGATTTGGTCTAAAATTTCTACCAGAACCAAGAAAATAAGTATTTTTAGGTATTTATAAGAAATGATTTGTAGTGTTTTAAATTTGCTTTTGATATCATATTATTAGGAAAACCTTATCGTATTTTATATTTTTAAATTTATACATTTCTAAGAAGGCTTATAATTATATTCATAATAATTGTATTTGTACAGAAGCTGTTATCACAGAAAAAAACGATAAATAGGAATTTCAAGGAACCCTTTTAATAATAATTATATAAAAAAAAAAAAAAAACAAAAACATTTCGTAAGAAAAAATTATTTTATTGAAAGTAAAATTTACTTATATTTTTCATAATTTTAAATTCTACCTCTCGGTTGTACTTTTTCTGAATCCCTGATTAATTTTTGCGTGTAAGATTTCATTATATCAAAGCGCCCTGCTACAGCTTTTAACCGTTTTTTTTTTGCCAAAAAATCACCCTCTTGCCGGTAATCACGTTGCAATACCATGCCGCCTGTTTACAGTTAACATTTTCCGGCTTTAACTCGGCTTCTTGCATTTTTATTTCACATTTATTTTATTTCTGATTTTTTTTTATTTTGCGGGTGAATTTCGCCCATTGCATTTCACAGTCGAGTGATCCGGTCTGGTGGCTCTACGTCTGGGTCTGGGTCTGAAAATGGTAGTGTTTCTGGGTCTGTTTCTCCATGGAACTGCCGGCGCCACTCGCTGATATCGCACACGTGCGATTTTCGTGACAATTTATCAGGT